TTGCTTGGGTGTCCCTGGTCTGCTGGGGGGGGTTCAGCGGCTTTGCTGGACCCCCCCAGCAGACCAGGGAGACAGGAGCAAAGCCGCCCAGGTGGTGGGAGAAAAGCCCCGTTCGTAAGTGCGGATCCGACATAAGTCGGATCCGCATAAGTCGGGGACTGCCTGTAACTGAAACCGCATGAATGAGGCAAAAAGAGTGTAATAAACTAAAGATATTTTCCAACAGTGGCGTTAACTCAGCTGTTACTATTTAAAGTGTAGAAATTCCATTTTAGTTAAAATATTTGCTTTTGTTGTTAGAGTTTTGAGGGCAGGAGTGAAGCATAGAGAAACATGTAGAAGGACAGGGTCAGTTTTCTAGTGACAAGTAATAGTAAGGAGATAAGTTTTATGTTTTATCAAAAAAATGAGTAAAGCTCTGTGGACACATATTTACTAGTATTCATGGTTGTGAATATTCGCAGATAGAAGTCTGTATATTTTGATCTGCAGTGGTTTATTCTGAGGAGATGCTGTGATCAATGGAGAGGAAAATGGGACTATCACTCCCAGAAGCCGGCAGCTCTTAGGCTACGTCTACACTGGCATGATTTTCTGAAAATGTTTTTAACGGAAAAGTTTTCCGTTAAAAGCATTTTCAGAAAAGCATGTCTAGATGTTTTGGGGGAACACCCCCCCTGCCACTTTTTGCGGAAAAGCGTCCGTGGCCAATCTAGACGCGCTTTTGTGCAAAAAAGCCCCGATCGCCATTTTCGCGACCAAGGCTTTTTTGCGGAAAACAGTACTGTGCTGTCTACACTGGCCCTTTTGCGCAAAAGTCTTTCGGAAAAAGACTTTTGCCTGAACGGGAGCAGCATAGTATTTCTGCAGAAGCACTGACAATCTTACATGAGATAGTCAGTGCTTTGCGGAAATTCAAGCGTCCAGTGTAGACAGCTGGCAAGTTTTTGCGCAAAATCAGATGATTTTGCGGAAAAACTTGCCAGTCTAGACACAGCCTTAGGGTATATCTAGACTACATGGTTCCATTGACGGAGCCATGTAGATTAGGTTTCTACACATAGGAAAATGAAGCGGCGATTTAAATAATCACCGTTTCATTTACATCAGAATGGCTGCCGTGCTGTGCTGATCAGCTGTTTGGTGGCACAGTGCAGTAGTCTGAATGCCCCGTTATACCTCATGAACAAGGTTTACCAGGGCGGTCAACAAGGGCTTCCCTTGTCGACCACAGAGCTTCCAGCTGATCGGCACAGCGTGGCAGCCATTTTAATGTAAATGAGGCGGTGATTATTTAAATCGCAGCTTCACTTTCCTATGTCTAGAAACCTAATCTACATGGCTCCATCGATGGAGCCATGTAGTCTAGACATACCCTTATTGCCCATGCAACTGAACTGCCCTCGGCCCCACCCTCAGCCACATCTCCTGTCTGGAGTTGTTTGGCCCTACTGGCAGTGGGGCTGAGGACAATACAGTCTCATGGCCAGGAGGAGATGCTATTGCAGGGCTTTGGTTCCTGGGAGTAGTGGCACCATGTTCATCTGCTTTTCCTATAGATTCTCCTGGGAACAGAACCTGGTGGATCAGTGGATACTGATTTCTGTCTGCATCTGCAGACAAATTTATTACATTCAGGGCTCTAAAGATGGAGGCGTATGTTTAGAAAAGTACAGATAGAGTGGCATTTATGTTAATCCTGATGAATGATAATTGTACTCCTCCTTGAAGAAATAGACAATTCAGTTTAAACCAGCGATAGTTTAAACTATAAATCAATAACTGGCACATTTTGATTGGCAACTATTCAATTTTTTCCAATTGGGAATCTATTTTTTGAGGTATTAAATTTGCAAGACCACTGCCAAAGTTGACCACAAACAGTATATAGCACAGGAAAATCATATTGGTTCATGTGACCTTCAGTGCAAAATTATGACAATTGCAAAACTTTGTTTCTACAGCAACCTTGGTGTTTCTGTTAGGGATGTAAAATCCTGTTGAGTTAACCAGTTAAATATTATGATTAACCGGTTAACCTATTAAGCAGGTTAGGGTGGGGGGGTGTTCAAGCCAAGCTGGGCTGGAGCAACCTCCCCTGCCCCCAGCAGGAACATGGTAAGAAAGGTTCCATTATACTATTTGTGCTGACACAGCAATACATGAACTCAAGATTCATATTTAACATTCTTTGTTTCATTGAAAATGATATGGCATTCAAGCCACAAGATTCTCCCTTATCATACACTTTCCCATCAGCTACTCCTAAAGGAGGGCTACAAAGACAGGTGGCTTCCAAATATGCTTGCTGCCTTAGAATGCTACTCTTTCCAGAACACCCATTATTCTCAGAAAAAGCCAATGGCATTTATAGCCCAAACATTTTATTCCTTGGCTGTTTGTATCCTCCTCTGAGGACTCCTGTTTCATCTGATCTTAGTGACAGGTTTCTATGTGTAGCTTGTTTGTGTGCAGGCACCTGTAAATCTGTTTTTTCTTTCTTCCTTTTCTTCCCCCTCCCTCCCCCGCCGCCCTGTCTTTCATGTTCAAGGCAGTAGCTTGGAAATTCATAGCTCCAGGTTTCTGCACTTAAGTGCTTTACCTTTGATGTCCACTGTGAGTGCAATTGATTACAATCACAAAGTCTTAGCCAATTTCACTCACAGCAGGCATCACAAGTGAAATGCTTTTGAGCTGTTGCTACTTTTGTCCCATTGACAGCTAACATCAATTAACAAGAACTATCTTTTTGCTGTCGACTCCAGCTTGAGAACCACTGGTCAGATACAACAAAGCAAAATCAAAACAGCCTTTTTATTGCTACTTCTTTATAAAACTCCTTGTAGTTGCAGTTAGGGGGGAAAAAAGCATTGCCATTTTAAAAGATTGTGACACGTTGCTTAGAAACTGCTGATGCTGGGGTTGTTTGGATCCTTAACTCAAAAGTTTTGTTTTCCTTCATTTAAATCCATTATTTTGGGGTGGGATTAGGCGTGAGGAGTTGAGTATTCAGGCTGCCGTAGGAGAGAGGACTACCTCAGCCCTCTCACCACAGCAGCGTGAGGCTAGGTGAGAAGCACCTCTCCATGGCCACTGCAGTGGGCACAGCCAGGGAAGGAGTATATTTTCCCTCACCCCCAGCTCATGGATAGATGGACACACAGGTAAACATTCAGGCACAGACAAATGCTCTGGAATGTCAAGTAGATAGCAGTCCCTTTTTCTACCTCTGTGCCTTGTTGGTCCATTGTGATTATAGCTGTCCCGGTCCCCATCTTTGGTTCCTTGCTGTCTTCCTGTGGTCATTCTGCAATATAACTGCCTCTTGCCAGACCCTTCCTTTTCCATTTTATGGTGCATCACATTATCCTAGAAAACTGAACCTTTAACTTGCTTTAACTTACAAGAGGAAACTGCTTTCCAGATTTGGTGGTCCAAGCTCTTACCATTTAGGAGGAGTTCTTGAACAGACTCACAGACAGACACACAAACACTTTTCTAAAATATATAGGAAGATGATTAGTCGACCTCTAGAACATTGTCATAAGAACATAAGAACGGCCGTACTGGGTCAGACCAAAGGTCCATCTAGCCCAGTATCATGTCTGCCGACAGTAGCCAGCACCAGGTGCCCCAGAGAGGGTGGACCAAAGACAATGATCAAGCGTTTTGTCTCCTGCCATCCCTCTCCAGCCTCTGACAAACAGAGGCCAAGGACACCATTTTATCCCCTGGCTAATAGCCTTTTATGGACCTAACCACCATGAAATTATCTAGCTTCTCTTTAAACTCTGTTATGGTCCTAGCCTTCACAGCCTCCTCTGGCAAGGAGTTCCACAGGTTGACTACACGCTGTGTGAAGAAGAACTTTCTTTTATTAGTTTTAAACCTGCTACCCCTTAATTTCATTTGGTGTCCTCTAGTTCTTCTGTTTATGGAACTAATACATAACTTTTCTTTATCCACCATCTCCACACCACTCATGATTTTATATACCTCTATCATATCCCCCCTCAGTCTCCTCTTTTCTAAACTGATTATATTTCTAAACTGTAATATTTCTGCATAAAAATAAAATAAAAATTTATTTTAGGTAGAAGTTGAGAGGTGAAACAAAATAAATAATTACCTTATTATATTCATGGTGTATGTGAATGTTTTCGTTTTTTGTTTTCAGTTGTAGAAGCATTTTTCTTGAGTGAGACAACTAAGGGATACTTAGAAGTTGAACTCTGTCCGTAAGTATAATGCTTTTCTGTTGTTTTTAAAAGTGTTAAATTACATTTTTCCTACCATTATATTAGCACAGTGGTCAGCAGTCTTTTCAAACCAATGAGCCAAACTACATCAAAATTCAGAACAAAGGGTCAAACAAAGAACTGTATAAGAATGCCCATTTGCATGACTGAAAATATACAACTTAATATTATTGATAATTCACATAATGATGAATAATAGCATAAATGAAACATTATACTCACAGACTTTATTTAATGGCACTTACGCTGCTGCAGCGTCTCACACTTTTTTTTTTTTTTGAAGTTTACATCATAACTGCTAAAATCCAGCTATGCATGCATTCAGGCTGTGTTCTGTCAAATTTATGGCAGGAAGCTGGGATGTGGGGGCGCAAGAGTCTGGGCTGGGGTGTATGAAGGGCCCAGGGCAGGGGGTTCAGTTGTATGATGGGCTCAGGATTAAGGTGTGGGAGTGGTGTAGAGTGTTAGATGTTGCGGCCAGATGTGGGCTAGATCCCAATTGGGGGTTTGTTGGCCAAGCTTCATTTTCAAATAAAGTAAAATATTATGTCCAATACAAAGTTTCAACGTTGTTTTTATTTATGGCTGGGGTGGAGAACTATTTTTGGGTTGTGGTCCACTGGCGCACAGAAAAATCAGTCGGGGGACCAAACAAGTGAGAAGCAGAAGGGCGGGGGGGGGACACCCACTGATGTGGTTCTCAATCCCCTGGTGTTTGAGCCCTGTGGTGTGGGGAGGGGTAGAGAGGACCGTAGTTCAAGGCTTCATGACAAATTTACTCTTCTGGGATCCCAGGGTTAGTACATTTTGTGGGCCCACATGCTCTGGGCTGGGGCCAAAACTGTGGGGTTAACTATGCGGAACATGGTTGCCAATGAGTGGGATAGGAATGCAGGAAGGGTGAGGGTACGAGCTCTGGGTGGGAGGTAGGATGCAGGAGCAGGCTGGGAGTAGGGTGTCTCACTGTTGGGGAAGGGGCAGAAGATGAAAGGGTGGAGGAGCAGCCTGGAGGCAGGGTGTCTGGTCAGGTGGGAGGGCAGAGGAGCAGGCAGGGGTGTCGGGTCACAGGGAGGGAGCAGAAGCAGTGTGATGGTAGGGGCTCTGGCCAGACTGGGAGGGAGCAGGCTGGGGGTGCAAAGTCTCTGCACAGGGGGCCAGAAGGGGCTAGGATATAGGGTCTGGGCAGCACTTACTTGCTTTTCCACCCTATGCTGTTCTCATGCTCCCTGTCCCAGGCATGACTTCCCACTGCTCCTATTGGCCAGATTCTGAAGTAGCCTGTGGGCGTCCCTGTGCTGATGTTCCCCTAGCCGGGGAAAAGGAAGACTGCTTCTTCCCTGGTCATAGTGCGCGGCATGGGGCTTTCTCCGTCCTCCCCTCCTCCACTCTTGCCTTCCGCAGAAAGCCAGCACTGCCTTCAATCTTGCAGGAGGTGCAAGGCTGGAGTGCTGTGTGTTTGTGTGACACGCATGCGCGCACACACAGAAAGTGTGGAGGGTAATATGGTAGGGCATAGGGATGTTAGCTATTGTGTAATTGAACAGTCATGTAACCTCATGAAATTTTAGCAGTTACATGACCATTCAGTAGTTCCTGGGGGCAAGGCCAGCAGCTCGTGCGCTCCCAGACCCATTCCTGGGGAGCCCCCTACCACCTCATGCTTCTGCCTCTGTATCAGCTGCAGCAAGGGGAGCCAGTTTAAAAACCAGCTCCCTGTGCAGACTGGCTGCCTGTCTGCAGGGGTCCGAGCTCCCCATGGACAGAGGCAGCAGCTCAGGAGGTCTAGGGGAGGCTGCAGCAAAGCGACCTCGGTCTGTGGGGGGCCTGAGCTTCCTGAGCTGCTTTGCGGCAGCCCTCCCTGTGCTGCTGACTCTGATAGGTGGGGGGCAGGTGGCACCATGGAGCTGATTTTAAGCTGGTTCCCCCCAGCACTGGATCCTGCTTGTACTCCCTCCTGTACCCCTCCTCTGTAGGAGGCACATGGGGTGAGGGTCAGGCAGGTCCGCAGGAAACTATGTACGCTGGGAGCTGTCTTGAAAGCTGGCTCCCTGTGCATATTGGATCCAGCCTACCCCTCTCACTCTGTGCTGCTGCCTCTCTATTAGAGTCAGCAGTGCAGGGGTGGGGGAACAGGCAGATCCAGTGCTTGTGGGGAGCTAGCTTTTAAACTAGCTCGTTCTGGGCACCTGCCCCCGCTCCCCTTGTTGCCTCTGATAGAGGCAGCAAGATGGCAAAATGTAGTGGACAAGTTTAACCAGTAAACCCAGGCTTATTGGGTAATCATGTAGTTGTCTATATGATGGTATCCCTAGTAGGGCATACAACAATTCCAGAGCTCTGAGATATGTATGAATTCCCATGATATATTTGAATATAGGTATATATGAATCATTTACTGCAACTGAATAACATTATTGCTCTGTTTTAATTTGGTCAGTCATGGACAACATTTATTGCTGTTACTTTCTGGCAGAAGACAAGTATGGAAAGTAAGTGATAAAATGCTTTTCATAAAAATGTAGAAAACTAACATCCTTTCTTAGTCTGTAGCTGATCTAAATCTTCCAAGCAAATATGAAATAATTGCCTTTTTTTTTTTTTTTTTTTTGCTCTTTATATAGCAAGAACTTGCTTTAACATTTGAAGTATCCAGAACAGAGACCAAATGGAAAGGCAGAGCTCATCTTCCTTGGAGTTATTTTCCACCATATGCTGACAAGTTTAATGCATTTGCAATTCATGGATCAGAAGCAAAGAGAACATATGAAGCACTTTACCCTGTGCCTCAGCATGAAATACAGAAAGGACAGAAACCTGATTTGTAAGTAGAAAATTACTTCATCTGTATCGCAGTATATAATAGGAGTCTTGGGGAAAAATTTGTAAAATAGTTATTTTAGGTATAAAATTACGACTATCATCCTGATGTTTTAATTATGTTACTGAGCACCAGTTCCACAGGTAGTCTGCTGTGTATAAAGAGCTCTGTGGCAGATAGCTATAATTAGAGGTTGATTTTTATTGCTATTCATTAGGTGCATTGCAAATGATGCCTTCAACACCAGTAGCATCTGTTTCATCACCTTTCTCAACAAGATCAATAATTTGTCCCATGTTTCCCTACCTAGAAACCTCTTTGAAATGCCAACCAGCAATAATCTTACTAAATGCATCTCCAGTGGACCTGCTTTGTTTCTTCTCTACTGTTCATGACAATCGTGGCTCAGTTTCTCATTTTTTGGAATTGATTACAGTAAAGGGAGAATGATTATAATCTCTTTCAACTGTTTTAATATCAAATACAGCATCAACAGGAAAAGAGAAACGTGACATCACCTGGACTCCATTTTTGTGCCTACTTATTACCTTGACTATAAAGTGAAGTTAGACAATGAAGAATTGAGTTATAATGCTAATTGCTATTTCTGTGCAATAAGGCTTCTGCTATTTGTGGTGATTAGGAAAAATGCCACCTTTTGCAGCAAAGGGAGTGAAATAGCTAACAACATGTATGTGAAGGTTCCCCCACATCAACGTTTGGAGAACATTCAGCATATAAATTATATATTCCAATTTCCCTTTTTTGCTTTGTAATTCATCTTTACTATTGAATGAAATAAAGATCAAAGGCTATTTGAAAAGATGAAAAAACCTTCCTTTTAACACTTGTGATATTAGCATAGTGTAACCTGTATTACATGATTTATTGGCTGGTATTTATGGGTACAGCATATAGTAATGGAAAGAAGACATCACTACTAGTATTCTTATACTCCAGAAGAGTAGCCTAAAGGGATGGACCAAGCAAGGATTTTATGCATAGCATTAATTTCATTCTTGGGTAAATGGGAGAGGGAGATTTCAGTCCCTGTGTACCCATCCCTGTTATACCATTCTCATTTTCCTCCACTCTGCTTTTTTCCTCCTTTCCTGTCATCTTGCTCTTTTCCTCCCAAATCTCTTGTTATTTCCGAATCCTATCTAAACATTTCTCCCACCACTGCTAATAAAAGTAAAAGAAATAAGTTATGTTCCCAACATTCTCCTTGTTCCTTATTTGGAAAGGGGGAAGAGGAAGAGAGGTAACTAGTGGTGTTCCCCAGAGGTCTGTATTGGGGATAGTCCTGTTCAACATATTCATAAATGATCTGGAGAAGGGGGTACACAGTGAGGTGGGAAAAATTGTAAATGATACAAAACTCCAGATCGCAAAGTCGGGATAGTCCTGTTCAACATACAGTTAATTGACTAGTCGATGGAATTTGCATCGACTAGTCGATAGGCACTTGCGCATTTCTCCTTTGAAATATGCAAGAACCCCCGCTGGAAGTCAGCATGTAGTCCGTGGCCAGCGAGAACTCCTGCTGACTCCAGGCTGCACACAGGCATGCATGCCTGCTTTGAGTCCCCAGCAGGAGCTCTTGTGCATTTCAAAGCTATGGAGCCCTGGATCAGCAGGCGATTCAGAGTCGCCAACTGACCCCGGGTTCTGTGGAAATGCCACGGGTGGAATCCAAGCTCAACTTGGGAGTGCCCAGCTGACCCTAGGCAGCTGAACCCTGGCTCAGCTGTGCGGGTGCTGCCGCTTTGAAGTGCCCTTTCTCCCTCTCCCCCTTTGCTGCCTCAATCTGATAGAGGCTGCAAGGAGAGGGGGAATCAACTAGTTGACTGACTATCCGATAAGCATTTGCTTAACATCCTTAGTCCAAAGCAGACTGCAAAAGGATCTCTCAAAACTAAGTGACTGGACTACAAAATGGAAGATGAAATTCAATGTTGATAAATCCAGTATGCACTACTTTGTAAAACGTAATCCAACTATACATATCAGATGATGGGGACTAAATTTGCTGTCCCCACTCAAGAGAGAGCTTGGAATCAGTGGATAGTGCTTGAAAAACATCGTTTCAATGTTTAGCAGCAGTCAAAAAGCAAACACTATTGGGAATCATTTAAGAAAGAGATAGAAAGTAAGACAGGGAATATTTTATTTATTCTGTGTGTGTATGTGTGTACACCCATATCTTGAATACTGCGTGAAGATGTGGTTGTTTCTCTCAAAAGAGATCTTCTCTGAACCTCTTTCCAGTGTCAACAAAAATGACTGGGGGTATGGAATGGTGGCTCTCCTATGAGGAGAGGTTAATAAGATTGGGACTTTTTAATTTAGAAAAGAGGAGATTAAGGGGAGAAGTATGACAGGGGTCTATAAAATCATGACTGGTGTGGAGGAAGTGAATGAGGAGTTTCTTAGTCTTTCCCAAACACAAGAACTAGGAGTCACCAGGCTCACAGGCAGGCATCATGCAGCACATGCCTTGGAGAATGCCCCTTCCCCCCACTCTGAGAGCCCCTCCTGGCTGAGCCTTTACCAGGCTGGGGTGGAGAGCTGCAAACACCTTTGCCCCCGTGGAGAGCTGGGGCCAGATTGAACAGCCTGCAGCTGAACAACACAGGGAAACTTACAATGGTGGAGCACATCCCAGTAACTTTTCCTGGCATGGCTCTCCCAGAAGGAGGAGTGGGGGGCAAAGTCTGCCCGGGAGCCCGGCTTGCTCTCTGGGAATGCTCCAGAGCCGGGGCAGAGGCATCCCCAGCAGAGGCGCAAGGCGGGAGGCTCCCAGCCCGGGCTGACAAAGGGAAGGAGCCCGGAGCAAGTTGCTCGGCAGCCAGGGTGGCCTGCACCACAGATGGCTGCAAATTGCCCGTGCCCCCTGGCAGCCCCTTGCAATCTCCCCTGCGTACCCTTGCAAATCCTCCTTGTAGCCCGCTTGCCACACCGCGGGGCTCGGCGGCCAGCAGCAGCAGAGGGAGGCTACAGGCAGCTATGGTACACAGGAGTGGGGCAGGCAGGAATATATCCACACCCAAATAAATCCCACCCCCGCGGGCTATACTTGTGCGCGGGGTATACAGGGATTTCTAAACTCAAATGGCAAAAACCGAGGGATATATTTGGGTGCGGGGTTTATTCAGGTGTTGGTTATATTTGCTAAAAGATGGTACTTGTTTTGTTCATTCCCTTTGGGGCTGCTGGCATTGGCCACTGTTGAAAGACAGGATATTAGGCTAGATGAACCTTTGGTCTGACTTAGTTTGGTTGTTTGTATGGTCTTGCATTCTGGGAAAAACCTTGCTATGTACAGTCTTTGGACTAGATCTTGAACTTTAAATCATACCACTGCTTTATTCTGGTCATAGAGCCAGCATAAAGGCAAGGAAAAGAGTAATTCCAGTGACAGAAGTGATTCTCCAATAGCCAGGGTCATATAGCAGATTCCTTCTTTGCTGTTAATATGGAAGATGTGGGTGGAGACAAGGGGTGAAGTGGGTCCTCATTCTTACAGGATTGATGCATCTCCAGCAGCCACCATTCATTGGATCAGCCCTCAAGCTTCTTTAAGTTCAGGAACTGACCCAGTGCACAGTAGCCCAAAGACTGAAGTAGTTGAAAAATGAGGTTAGTGCTTGCTAACTTTACCCTCAGTACAGTATATTGCTTGGCTGTAGCTGTGAATTTGGAGCCATATTTTCAATGCAGGATTTGTAGAAAAATTCTTGCATAGCTCTATAAGTATTCCCGGTTTATTACATCTAGTTCTTGCAAAATAGAGTATTGAAAATAAATAGAACATTGGCTATGATGCTCTCCAAGAACCCAGGAAAATAAATATTAAATTATTTTTACATCCTGACTAGTTTATATGCAACCATTTTTTATTCCTAACTTCTGAGTATAAAGAAACAAAACTCGTGCCCTGAGTAATTCTTCCTTTCTCCCCATCCCCCATTTTATTTACAGCCATCGCTTGGAATTTTTCAAACCACTTAACCTGAAGGTATTAATGGGAGAAGATTGGAAACAGCCTGGATCAGATCTGTGGATGTCAACTGATGAGATGAACAAGATGAAAAAATGATTTTGTATGATTCAGGGTGTATGAAACTAAATTAAGAGCTGTAGTGTGCATATATAAACATCACAAAAAAGTGTTTGGAAATCCTTTTTAAGCACCAAATATGTTAATCTTTTAAAAAGTCAGTTATCTGCAGCAGTTGCAGCTAAAAATCACAGGTCAATGGTAGTAATAGATATGTAGCCGTGTTAGTCTGGTCTAGCTGAAACAAAAACCAGGACTATGTGCGCTTTAAAGACTAACAAGATGGTTTATTAGGTGATGAGCTTTTGTGGGCCAGACCCACTTCCTCAGATCAAATTGTGGAAAAAAATTGGCACGACCATATCTACCAAAGGATACAATAAAAAAAAAACACATATGAAAAGGACAAATCAAATTTCAGAACAGAAGGGGGATGAGAGCGGGAGGTACATGTGAGCTAATGATATTAGAGGTGATAATTGGGGAAGCTATCTTTGTAATGGGTAAGGTAATTAGCATCCCTGTTAAGACACCTAGGTCTTAAAACTGAAATATGAGTTTTGTTGGTACCAAGAAAATGGTACATGTTAAAATATTGTTTTCTGATCATGTACTTAAAATTCAGCTACTCTAATTGGGCCAACCCTATCGACTCTGCTCAGATTATTAAAACCATATTTGTTTTGGGGTAGGAAGAGATGCCTTGTCTAAGAATTTAGAGACTTGTGGAATGTAAGGGCATGCACATTTCTTTGTGATGCATGTAGGAAGCACCACACTTGCCATGCACTGTTCAGCATACTCCTCTTGCTGCAACCTCTTGTGTGTGTGGGGAGGAAGGAATATGGCCCTGTATTCCTAGAGCCTTGCAAGCTGCAGATATCTGCTTTATATCTGTGTATATCCATATACACAGCTTACTTTTGAAGATGTAGATGTGGATACAAAATTTTATTCACATCTGTGTAGGGCTTTACCTATTCCTAGGTCTATCCTATTATTTCAGTCTAGTTTCTTCTTGCATAAGAAACCTCATTCTGACTCCTCTATGAATGTTCTACCTAGCCTCAATCAGCTTAATATCTGTAGGCCAGATTTTTAAAAGCATTTAGACTCTCCTCTGTATTTCTTTATGTGTTTAATTTATTGACATCTGAGGTATCTTTAATAGTATGGCTGTCAGTGCCCCCTGGGGGCTGAAAGCTGCTTTTACAGGAATGCTAAAGCGATACGGGTGTATCCCACCTAATGCACCCATGCTGCAGAAAACATAATTTGATTCTGATACGCATTCCTCTTAACATATTTAGTGTCTAACCCTGTTATGAGAGGGCAAATACTTATTTCTTCCTTACAATGCGAAGGAAATGTTTTCAAAGGGATATAAACTTAGGGTTTTTTCCACAGTATTTTGATGTGTACACAATAGAGCAATACTGGCACTTTGGGCTTTTCTGATTGGTTTTAGGCTTCCTCTCTACTGGTAGATTTTTATCTTCCAAAGTCAGAAGGGACCATTGGAGTATTCTAGTCTGACTTCGCATATAACACAAGTCATAGAACTTCTTCCCCAAAGGAATTTCAAGAGAATATCTTTTAAGAAAACATCCAATGTTGATTTTTAAAATATCAGTGATGGAGAATCTACTACAACATTTGATAAACTTGCTGTGGTTTATTAGTTTAAAATGTATGCCTTATTTCCAGTCTGAATTTGTCTAGCTTCAGCTTTCAATCATTGGATCATTTCATACTTTTTTCTGCTTGTTTGAAGAGCCCATTAATAAATGTTCCCAATGTAGATACTTAGACTGTAATCAGGGTTATAGACTGGAATAAATTGCAGGGCTGGTGTATCCATTCTCTATTCAGTTGTGTATTTCTTACTCAATAAGTACACTTTGACTTTTCCAAGCCCCAGTCTTATGCAAATAGACCACTGCATTCTTAGTGTCACCAATTCTTTCTGCTCTCTTAATTAGACTTATAGATTCCTTACTATCAAGTGCCATTTGTTGACAATAGTAAGTATTGTATGTATAGTTTCTAGGATACTTTTTACACCTGCAGTGTATACACCTTCTCCTGAAAATTACCGTGTAATCTGAGAATATTGATCAATCCAATAAATACTGGTAAAAATACAAGAGTTCTGATGTTTTTCTAAGATGTCTTATTTGATGAAATATGTTCATGGGCAAAAAATATTTTTTTAACATTTTAATATTCCATATGTATTATTTGATTGTGAAACATTTAATTTTGCCATTTAAAGTCAAGCATTCAGGAATAAAGTGAATGCTGTAGTTCACAACACTTAGTTGCTTGTATCAAACAGATTCTCTTTTCTCATACTCAGCTGATTATCCTATAAGTAAAGGAACAATAAGTCAGTGTTATTTATTCAGGTGCTTTTCAGCCCATTTTTCCCACAACACTTCAAATTTTGTCCTTGGATATGTCTGTAGGACTCTCATTCTCTATATCTGAGAGAAGTAGATGTTATTTTTTTACCATAAATAAAAAAATTATGCTCTTGTTGCATTATTTCATTAGCTGTTTCTTAAAATCCAGATTATCATATAGTTCATATACACCATGTGTATTGTATATCTGCATGATAAATGGCATAGCTACATGACTTTATTGTACACCTGCCATCTTTTCCTGCATTCTGTCTGCTAATCCATCTTCTGTCAATTTATTTTAACGTTTTAAATTTGTGATAATTTTAAACTGTTATTGTCATTTAAAAATCAGCTTACTTGGTCAGTTTTTCCAACAGGAAATATTCAGTCCTACATCAGTTACAGATGTCTGATATCTCATGGAACAGGAGACTCAGTTATAGGAGTTTCATTATTCTGGAAAGGGGGTATTCTCCATAGGATGCCCAGCACTTGATGCTAACACTGACAAGACTCAAGACAACTGACTTTATAGTCTGACTTTTTTTCTATATATGTAAAAATGGTTTGGGTTTTTCTTAAGCCATAACTTTCTTCTCCCTCTGAGCCCTGTATAGTGTAAGCCTGCTACATTGAAGGCTATGCCAGAGCTCTGCCTCCAATGGGCATATGGCTGGGTGACTAAAGGAGCATGGAGAAAGTGCCAGTAAGTGTTTAAAATGCTTGTGAATATTTCTAATTTAGTTCTTTAACGTGGCACATGGAGTGTATGCAGAAGGAGAAGTCTAGTATATATTTATTTTATTTTACTTATAGGTTGATCTCTAAGTCACTTGTGGCCTTATAACTTGTGAGTAACACAGCTATTAAAAATTCATGCCTGTAAAACCTGTGAAAGCATCCTGTCATGTATTTTCTCTCTTCTCTTTTGTGGACCTCTGATTAGAGTAGCTGCAGAATGGAAATAGCTATCCCCATTTATATTTTCTAATATCTCTAGCTGTTCTCTACATTTCCTTATGAAATGTAACAAGGTATGATAGGAAGAAGAAAGAGACTCGGATTTTCTAGTCACAAAAGGTTTCATGCTGTTGTAGTTGCTAAATATCACAATCCCATGCTCTTCATTCAGTCAAGAGATTTATTCATAAAGCCTAACATTTCTCTAATGTACATTCAGGAGGAGACTTGTGGTTTGGTAAATGATCCTTCCCTGTAATCTTCTCCTAATTTCAGTGTTTTAGGAGGAGCTCTGTGAAGCTCAAAGGCTTGTCTCTCTCTCACCAACAGAAATTGGTCCAATAAAAGATATTACTTCACCCACTCTGTCTCATTTATAAAAATCATTCTTGGCTGTTGGCAACAGCAAATTCTGTATTTTTCTTTATTACTTCTTTTAAGTTCTGCTGATTCAAAGTGAGCTAACAGCCTCTTTAAAACATGGCCTGTGTGAGTGTGTCTTCAGTTGAGGGTCTCACAAGTACACCTTACGAAACATTCCTCTTTCTAAATTCCAGGAAAGTTTGTGTGTATCAGGAAACATTCTGGTTTGACAACACTAGAAACGGAGGTAACCACAGAATAACTAGCAATACAAGGATTTGGTCAATGTTTCTGTGCTCTATGGGACATTTCTATGCCTTTCTCTTGGTGATATAACTTTAAAAGAATAAAGAGGTACCTCTTAAATACCACCTTTGAAAGTTTGTCCTTGATTTTAAATTTTTCTGTAGTTGCCCAAGGTTGGCTTTTGGAGTACAGAAAAACTAGAGTTGGTGACTTCTTGATTGTGGTGAGGGTTTTTTTGTTTGGCATGGGAAAATTGTTGGAGGCATTGCTGCTGCCCAGACAACTTGGATGACGCCACAGCCCTCGCAAGCCTGCTAGAAACTGGCAGAGATTCTGACTAGGGATGTTAAATATTGGTTAATTGAATAGTCGAGTAACCTCATGAATTCTTATAGGCTAGTCGACTATTCTATAATCTGCGAGGGCAGGGCCAGTACCCACTGTATCAGAGGCAGCAGTACAGGGTGCCAGGTGGGAACTGGTCCACAGCAGCACGGGGTGGCTGCAGCCCCTTTTTACAGGGGGATCAGAGCTCCCAGATCCAGCACGAGCAGGAACTGAGCTGGGCTACCTGCCCACCTGGCTCCTAATACACTTTAAATGCAGGTCACAGGTCTGAGACCCTGGCTACTCAAGTGTTTCAGTTTTACACTGCTTCCCTAGTCCTGTTTGTAACTCTGTTCTTGCTCCTACCCCTTGCTCTGAAATCCCTTCCCCTCCACTTCTGCTCCTTGTCTCTGCTTCCCTGCTTGGTTTCTTGCTCCTGTTTGTTTGTCTCTGCCCATATTTCAGCTGATACTCTGGCTTTAGTCCCTGATTCCTGGTTTCTAACTTTCTGCTCCAGCTTGTTTCCTGAACTTGGTAAGTTGGCTCTTGGCATGGGCCATTAGATGTAGCTGTTTGACCCCTTAAGCCACTCTTTTGCCCCAATCATTACCAAAATGTCACCCTCACCCTGCTTAATATGATCCTTTTACAACTCATTCACTGTCAGCCAGGCTATATCTATGCTGCAACACTATTTCAGGATACCGGGATATCCTGAAATAGCTATCCCGTGTCTTTTCAGTAAGTCAGTTATTTTGGGCTCACTATTCCGATGTCCCTGTAAACCTCATTCTATAAAAACTGTGAGGTGTGCTTCAGAATAGCACTTTATTTTGAAATGTAGTGCTGTGTAGAGAGCGCCAAATGATTAAATAAGCTATTTTGAAATAGGATTGAAATAAGATACGCAATTTGTGCTACACAAATTGCGTATCTTATTTCCAGTTACAGTACCGTGTAGACACACCACAGATTCTGTCTACCCCAATTTGTGTAGCACAAATTGCGTATCTTATTTCCAGTTACAGGGCCGTGTAGACACACCACAGATTCTATCTACCACTGTTAAAGGACAAAAAGTTGGGGGAAGGTTGTCCATGTCACTTTTCCTCTGCTCCAGTGTGTAACTGTGTGACTTGTTCTATGGGCTGCTAGAGAGATTGGGGCTAAACTAATCCAGATTACAGGAAGAGACCCACATGCAGCTGTGACCCCAGGAGGCTCTGAAAGGTGCCCGTTCATTTCTATATGATGGTCTCAATTGACTGAGGACATACAGTGGAGATTACTACAACCTGGATGACTCGTGCAGAGATGTGTGACCCATTCCATTCATTTTGGATGTTCCCACCCTCTTCTTGAGTGCCTTCTTATGCATAAAATGTGCTTGTTTTCAGCTCTGCATGCAAAGGATAGGACTGCTTGAGATGCGTGACTCTCACAAAATGGTAAGCTCCCCCCTCCACATCTGACTCACACAAGGGGGGTGAAACCCGTGTAGCTAGGCACAAGTCCTCCACGTTGTGTCTCACACATTAGAGCAGTGTTTCTTAAAGTGGTTCGCAGACCCAGTCTGAGAGAGCTGCTAATGGGACACTCCAGTTTGGCTTTGCAGCCACGGAGTGTTCATTGGCTTCAGTTTGCAATCTGCTGCCTAAGGGAGCCATGGAAAGTGGCGTGACCCAGGCTCCTGCTTCTCACAGCTCCCCTGGGCTGCAAATGGCAAACTAGAGCCAATGGGAGCTGCGAGGCTCTGTTGCTACAAAGCCAAACCTGGAATAGTCCATTAGCAGCTTTCTCAGAGTGGGTCCATGGACCACTTTGAGAAACACTGCATTAGAGTATTGAGAGGGGTTCAGAAATCCCATCACAGCACGGTCCCCCCTAGATACTGTCTCATATGGGGGGCAGGGAAAGGGGTTCAGAATCCTGGAGAGTGGCTAGAACCCCCAGCTCTGGGCTTATGCATGGAAAGAGAGGAAGTAGAGCTGATAGTGCCTGTGCCCCTACAGCCTATTTTCAGTGTCCCTCCACTCCCCTAATCCTGTATCTCCCTCACTGAGCCCCCAAACGCTGTCCTCTCCTCTAAACCCATCCTCTTGCTGGAGCCCCAAACTCCTGTCCCCCTACTTTCCCACTCCTCTGACCCCTTCATACATTTCCCATCCCAGGAAATAAACAACATGTCTATTTTTCCCCCCAAATACTTTGAGTATATTACCCACAAAAAATTGCCACCAATCAGTTACAATTTGTGGTAACTTTCTGCCACTCAATCCAAAATTCTGTCTTAAGTGGGGGGTTGTTATTAGCTTGTCCTTAATTAACTTAATTGAATGATGAGTTCCATAGCTGTCAAATTTTCAGTGAAGTCTGTAATTCATCCAATCATTGGCACCTCTTACTTTAGCAATACAAGCAGCAGAAGGAAACTGGATTTCTTCAAATTACTGTAAATTGGAAACTTTTTGGTCAAAGATCATTAATGTTATCCTATGCAGAAATTTGGCATGCAAAGCAATCCAAGTAACCATATGGATTTTAGAGCACTTACAAAAATCACGTGTTAAAGTATATAAAGTAGCAGGTTTAAATTCTTTAAACTTCTTATTGTATTGGAACATGCATATTGTACAAATGTGCATTTTCTTAAGTACTGTTCTGAATGAGCGTCCCTCATAGATTTAATGGGTGCTTTGCAATACCATGGGTAAAACTCAATAAATGAAGACCATTGTGACCCACATCATATCAAGAGTTCTGGTACTGTGAGGGGGGAGGAGGGGAAGTAAAAGCTTTTTGAAAAATGGCCATTTTTGAGAAGTGCTTTTATCTCCTCAATCCATAGCTCAAATGACTTCAAATTTGGGTTACTAACCCTACCATGTATCCTTCTAAATTTCACCAAATTTTCAAAGGAATCTGACAAAGCATGTAAATTTTAGAGGACTTGGAAAGGTTGATCTTTAAACAGAAGCCATGATGTGACCTTAACTGTAGTGGTGCTGCTGTGCCACTATCATTTACAATGAGTGGAGTTAAATTAATAATGTTGGACTGCATGTTTTACCACAGTGATTAAGGAAATTGTTCAAAGTATCAAAATGAATTGCTGCCTGCAACATACCAGTATGGAATGTTAATCTGTAATCTTAGTCAATTATTAAAACATTGCGAAGGACGGTAAACGTTATTAATCACCATTTAAATAGCAGGAATCAGAAATGTCCAGTGGTTACTTAGCTGTGATAGCAACAGCTGGAGTATAAATGTGGCAAATTTTCTCCTTGTTTAGTCTTTTAAAAAATGAAGGCTCTGTGTATTTTAGCTGTTATTGTGGCATGTGTAGCTGGTCCTATCCATCACTCTCTCCTAAGCAGGTATTGGACACCTTTCTACCATTTCTAATTATGACTGGAAAAAATGACTCTCTTAATTTTTGTCTACAAAGTGGTTTTAATTGCTATTACTATTTTTTATTATAAAGTAAATCTAAAAATTAAATTAATTTAGATGGAGTTAATGTATGTATATTGTGTAATGCAGAAGCTTTACCCCTCCCCCATACAGGGGGCAATCTATGTGGCTTTGAGAGCCAATAATATAACCACAGCTTCTGAGGAGTTATTGCATCAGGGAGGAGAAAATACCTCTAAAGAAATGACAGTTTCACTATACAAACTTTGATGGAGCCCTAAGCAACTCTCTATCACTTCCTCTAAGGCTTAGGAATGAAGTAGAATCCAACTTGGAAATGGGAAGGAAAGTTTAATGCTATAGGTGTATTTCCACTTTTGATTTGGGTCCACTTTTCACACATAGGGTAAGTCTACACAGCAGTGTTATTTTGGAATAATGGACATTATTCCAAAATAACATATTGTGCATCTACACAGCAAGCCCGTTATTTTGAAATAAATTTGAAATAACAGGCTTCTTATCTGACTTCTGTAAACCTCATTGTATGAGAAGTAAGGGAAGTCAGAGGAAGAGTGCTCTATTTTGAAATATGTGCTGTATAGACGTGCCCAATTTTGAAATAAGCTCATTGGACTTAAGCTACGCAATTAGTGTAGCTCAAGTTGCGTAGCTTATTTCGAGTTTCGCCCTGCTGCGTAGATGTACCGATAGTATTTTAATTTTGCCTTCATCTGAAGTATCAGGCCAATAAAGAGCAAGGTTTGGGACTAGATGAAGCATTGGTCTTCTTTAATATGACAATTTCTGATATTTATTCCTTTCATCCCTTTGCATGGCACCCAAATCCCAATATGCATGTTTTTCCCTCCCTGGCAAAATTCCTGTGAATGGTAATTCAGAGGAAATAATTGATTTTAATAACATTTTCTTTTTTACATGTCCCAAAAAACTCCAGTTATAGGGCAATAGATGCCTCGGAACTATTTGTTTTGGTCCTTAGATGACTCCAATCATTGTGGCATCTGAGGACTAAATAGATTCTTAAGCAATAACATTTCTTAGAGACTCTACTTTTGTAGAACCATACACCAGAAATCTCAGTAACTACATCTGAATCAAGCATCAGATAGTGACAAGTTCATATATAGTGAAATTATCTAGACCGACTAGTCTGGAAAATTAAAATATTAAACTAAATGACTGAATAAATAACATAGCTGCAAAAACAGAATTTTGGCTTGTCTTAGCTCATGTATTTCTAATTCTTTCTGACTTTATTTTTTATTACCCTTATGAACTCATTCATAAATGTTAGGTTTTCTGCATTACTCACCCACTCTTTGTCACATCAATGAGTCTTTGCAGTTGCATTTAGAAATGTTTTATGACAGTGTTCCCAGATACCTAGTTTTTTACTCCTTCTTGCCACTAGATGGAAGAAGAAGGTTATCAAAATGATACTTTACCCAACCCAGTTATGTTCATCCAGTTTCACTCCCAGTTGTTTCTAAAATAAGAAATCCCTCAAAAATTGTGTTTGTACAGTGCTGGTTTTAACTGCTATATTTCTTAGTTGTGTGATTATGTATGTTATAGCAATTAAATACTAAATTATACCACACAATCATCTATTCACAGTTTTTAACTTTTTTGTTTTCCTGAAGTAGAAATGTTTTCACTAATAATCATCAGACAAAATCACTGGAGAGTAAAACAAGGGAGGTAAGTGTACGTTTATAAAAGTTATAATATGCAAAGGTTTGTGACAAAATAATGGTTTGAAGAATAGCTTATTTTTCAAAAGTTTAATATGAGTTCATGCACACCTTCCAAAAAACTTACAATGCCTTAAATACTGTTGATGAATACAGGTAGCTTTTTTAGGTTTTGTCTATACTACCACATTTGTCAGCAAAAATGTATCAGCTAGAGGTGGGGCATAAGTTTCACCAATAAAAGTGCACATGTGGACATAGCTAGCATTGCTTGTGTGGGTGTGGTTTATGCTTGCAGGAGAACGCTCTCCTACTAGCATTGAGCAGCTACACAGGAGACCTCGTAGTATAGCTGTGCTGCTGTAAAGTCTATAGTATAGACATAGCCTAAAAGGCAAACGCTAAAATTTTGTTTATGCCTTCTGCTGCTTCTTTCTGGTATAGAACAATGGCCTTAATCAGATTTCTATCCAGTGGAATGGAAAATCAGGATCTAATATATATAATGGAAATAAGAAACCAAGCAGCATAAATAATGAAGACCATCTTTTGGCAATTTCTAAGGGTATGTCTACACTACAACGTTAATTCGAACTAACTTAGTTCTAATTAGTTAATTCAAACTAAGCTAATTCTAACTAACGGATCCAGACTAAAAAACTAGTTCGAATTAGCGTTTTGCTAATTCGAACTAGCATGTCCACATTAAGTGGACCCTGAACTGGGCTTAAGGATGGCCGGAAGCAGTGCCGGCAGGGCATCAGAGGAGGACTTAGAGCGTGGAGATGCTGTCTCAGGCTAGCCGAGGGCTGTGCTTAAAGGGTCCCGACCCCCACCCCGGACAGACAGTTCTCAGGGGTGCCCCGCTTGCAAAGCAGTCCTGGCTTGGAGTGCCCGGACTACCCACACTGGGCACATCACACCACTCGGCCATCAGACCGGCTGCACTTGCCGCAGGCTGCCATCTGGGGAGAGGGGGCAATTGGGGGGCTGCAGGAGAGCTTCCACCCCCAGAAGCCTGCAGAGCCAGCCCAGTCCTCCCCATTGGGGGCTCGTGCCCCATTCCTCCCTCACCTTCTTCCACTTACCCTTCCCTAGCCCCTCTTCTTGATGTACAAAATAAAGATAATGTGTCTTCCAAAATGGAATCTGTCTTTATTGAACAAAACTGGGGGAGACTGGGAAAAGGAGGTGGGAGAGGGGAAGAGAGAGGCTGGGAGAGGGGAGGGCAACTAAAATGATCAGGGGTTGGGAACAGGTCCCATATGAAGAGAGGCTAAAGAGACTGGGACTTTTCAGCTTAGAAAAGAGGAGATGGAGGGGGGACAGGATAGAGGTCTCTAAAAGCATGAGTGGGGTGGAGAGAGTGCATACAGAAAAGTTCTTCATTAGTTCCCATAAAGAAGGACTAGAGGACGCCAAAGGAAAGGAATGGGTAGCAGGCTTCAAACTAGTAACAGAAAGTTGTTCTTCACAAAGCAGAGAGTCAACCTGTGGAACTCCTTGCTGCAGGAGGCTGTGAAGGCTAGAACTAGAACAGAGTTGAAAGGGAAGTGAGATCAAGTCATGGAGGCTGGGTCCATGGAGTGGTATTAGCCAGGGGGTAGGAGTGGTGTCCCTGCCCAAGGTTTGTGGAAGGCTGGAGAGGGATGGCACGAGACAAATGGCTTGGTCACTGTCTTCGGTCCATCCCCTCCAGGGTCTCTAGGGTTGGCCGCTGTCGGCAGACAGGCTACTGGGCTAGATGGACCTTTGGTCTGACCCAGGACGGCCATTGTAAGCTCAGGGCTCAGGTTTGGGGGTCTCACTGGACCCCCTTGATTCTCTTGCACACCTGCTCCTGGGTGGCCAGGCTGGCAGCTCTCCTGCCCTAGCCGGCCACTTTCCTGTACCTAGTGCGGAGATCGTGGACAAGGTCCACGATGTCTGCACTAGCCCAGGCGGGTGCCCGCCTCTTGCGGTCCCCGGCAAGCTCCCGGGAGCCGCCAGCCTGGTCCCGGGAAAAGGGGGAGGGCTGGGGAGCATCAGGTGGGTGGCTCGATCCGTGCCAGGTGCAGGGTCTGCTGGCTGGGTGCTGGCAGGCTTGCACCTGGCACGGGCACCATAGCTAGCCAGTGCCCCTTTAAGGGGCTGGGAGGGGGGCAGAACAGTTTCCCTGGTGTTGGCCAGAGTGGCCACCAGGGAAAGCTGGGGAGGGCTAGCCTCCCACTAGTTCGAATTAAGGGGCTACACCCCCCTTAATTCGAACTAGCTAGTTCAAACTAGGCTTAATCCTCGTAAAATGAGGTTTTCCTAGTTCGAACTAAGCGCTCCGTTAGTTCGAATTAAATTCGAACTAACGGAGCGCTAGTGTAGCGCCTATGAAAGTTAGTTTGAACTAACATCCGTTAGTTCGAACTAACTTTGTAGTGTAGACATACCCTAAGAAACTTCAAAAGAAAGAAGCTTTGTGTTTATTTTCCTGTGTTATTTCATACTTTACTCTGTTTAATACTTTTTAGAAATTCTGATTTGTTTCTCTGAGAGAGACTACACAGAATATTACCCTTGGTGTATTTTCAGTTTTAGCTAAGCTAAATGTTTCTGAAGTATGCATGGCAAAATTTTCTATGTACTTTGAAAAATACTAATTTAATCTTTTTCATGTCAACTCCATTTCTAAAGTGTACCTCACTGCGCTTAATTGCAATATCTGTAATAACATTATTGAAGCTTGATAGCTGAACTGTATTTCCTCCTTTCCTACTCTGTAAGCAACTTTATTTTGCTATATACTTTAGAGATGCTTCACCAAAAGTACTGGAAGCTATTTGAGGGTTAAAATAGGAATAAATTATGTTCGTTATCACTTACTTATACCACACCTAGACTCTTTGGGTTCACTTGCCTGTATGTTGGCATCATGGTGATCTTTAATAATATCATCCAGGAGAATTCATGGGTCAAGAAACCCAGGCTTGTACTAGTAAATTTCTGAGCTGACTGACTGCCTGGCCAGATCCAATGACCCTTGGTTCACTCTGGCCCTGTGTGGCCAAAGGGGGTGCTGTTGCATTGGTACATCAGCTCATATAGCTAAGTGATACACAATACAGGTTTCACCTCCCCAAACTGGCAGTCTCTAGTCCAGCAACATCCGTGGCCCAGCATGACCATGGATGTTCCTGGGTCAGAGAGCCCAGTAGCCTAGTGGCAAGAAGGCTATCCAGAAGTGGGACTGGTCTGAAGCTGTGGGATGGGGATGGGGCTGGCGGCAATCCTTAGCACAGTAGTGGGGCTGGAGCCAGCAGCAGCCCCCACAAACTGCATCACCAAGACTGGGTCTGGGGCAGCACCCGCAGCACAGGACCAGGCAGTCACCAGCCCATGGTAGGATGGGGCCAGAGCCCCGGGGCAGCCTGTGGAAGCAGGGCCAGAGCCTGCGCGCTGCCGCGGCAGGGGGGCTGGGGCTGGCAGCAGCCCCAGCATCTGTGGCAGCAATGGGGCTAGGGACGGAGCCTCGGGCAGCCTGCGGGAGCATGGGGCCAGGGTCCGCAGGTGCCACGGAGGTGGAACCCAAGTCCTCAACAGCCCCCGGGAGCCTGTGGCAGCAGGTCTGGGACAAGAGACAGCCCCCACCAGCCCATGGCAGCAGGACCAGGGCTGGAGCCGGCAGTGGCAGCTGGGGTAGGACCTGCAGTAGCACAGGGCCAGAGCCAGAGACTGTGGCAGCCTGTGACAGTAAAGGCTGCTGAAGCCCGTGGGCAGCCTCCAGCTAGGGCAGGGCCGGCTGGGGCTGGAAGTAGTGAGGGGGCCACCGGAGTTGACAGTGATGAGGGTCAAAGGGCAGTGGCAGGGAACCTTCCCTCGTCCAGCAAATTCCCTGATTAGTGATTGGTGTGGTCTGCAAGGTGCTGGACCAGGAATGTCCAACCTGTACTCCAAAAGAGAGCAAGAAAATGGTCTGGTAGCTTTTATAGAGTCTATAGACTAACAAAATATGTAGATGGTATCATGAGCTTTCGTGGGCCCAGCCCACTTCTTCAGATGACCGGAGTTATGACTAGGGGATAAGAAAACTCGAACTATATAGGGAGAAGGGAAGTGGGGCCGGAGAAAGATGCTGTGTTGCCCACCCTCCTACCTCTATAAATAAAGTATCAGGAGAAAGGGTGCTAAACCTGAGTAGATAAAGATCAAAGTCAGAGGATAAAGGATACCATTCAGAAAGGCAGGAAGGATACCGTTCAGAAAGCTGTTAGCACCTTCAGTGATAAAAGGTCCACCACCCCATATCTTGATTAAGCCCATGAGTAATTTAATTAAATTTTGCATTGAATACAAAAATATGTATTGTAATTCCAAGATTTCCCTGTGTATTTGGCTTGAGGGGATTGGCCAGTGACAAGACCGCCACCTTCAGATCAGTGAGATTATGGTTAGGTAAACAGAAATGTCATGCCTTTTTAATGTATATAATCTCATTTCACTTTTAAATTGCTGCTATATCCTTGGCAGACATCATGATTCCTTGGTCCCTTTTCCCTTCTTACATTTCTATACATTCATAATCCATCAAAATAGCAACTTTATACTACTTTTGCCAATATGACATACTTGTTTGCCATCATGTTCCCCACACATATCTTCTAAATCACTATGTAGTTTCTCACAATACTCCGTACATTTATTAATTGAAGCTATTTAAAACTACATTGGACTTTGTGTAGCACTGGTATATAAGAAAAGGGTAAAGCTAATGCAGGGAGAAGTGTCTAAAAAGCTTCATCCTGACAAACAGAATGGCAGAAATGTAATTCTCAAGAGCGCACCAGTACATAGTACAATTTATTCATAAATAATAATAGAAAAGTTTAACAATAGTACAGAGTATGAAAATGATAAGAAGAGAAGTGCACATACTGCCTTGCCACTTAAACTCATGTCTCTATACATTAGAATTGCATTTTTTTCACTGTCATGAGATTTTTATAAATGTGGAGAAAGGTCAAAGTTCATGCCTAAAAGAATATGGTAAAGCCAGTAAAAATTAGAAAAAAAAAAAGTTGTTCTAGTTGTGCATTGTAATAATAGCATAAAACTACCACAGTTATTGAAATATTCTAGGATCTAATGAAGTACTGACAATCACAGTTAGAATAAACTGTAATTGGAGATTTTTTTTTTTAAGTAGGAAAAGGATGTGTGGTATTAAATGAGCACTCAGTGTTTCAGGAGCTTGAAAAAGATGTGTTTTATTCCATGTCCCATTCCAACTATTTATGCAGAACAAGAACTTTACTGAGATGCTCCCACATTCTTTCTCTGGAAAACTGTCATTAAGAAACAGTCCCCAGCATTTCTCCATTTTACGTTATTTCTCTTTTTACTCTTCTGTAATCTTCTGTAGTTGGAATATAAGATTACAAGAACCTGGGACAGCATTGTTGTGATGCATGAGCCTGTAACCATCAGATTTAAGGCAGGTGACCAAGGATTAATAATGCAAGTGAATTCCCTATTCTTTAATGACCCTTCTGCTCCATCTGGTGAGCCAGGGAAGCCTTTTGATGGACTTTGGGATTATGAAGGTAAGAAATTATTTAGCTATAGATATATTGGTGATAGATTTCAGAATGTGGAAAAACACTATGTAGTAAAATCTACTTGTGACTGCAAACAGCCTGAAACACTAACTCTGAGGGAATTTATGTTCATGATAATGGTACTGTAGTTTAAATGTCAACATTCATATTAGTTCACTGGTGATCAAATCATGCAAGAAAGGAGAAGGATGATAATATTATGAAATTCTGCAAAATTAATGTCTTACTTTGTTGTTTCAAGTGAACAAAATTGATTCTGAATAGTGCTTGAAGAGTATTTATATCTTCCTATGCTTCCCACACGCACACCCATATTTGACCTACCCTTGCTTGCAGCTCCCTGTTTCAAAGCCTCAAGATCCAGCAGAAAGAAATTTATTGGGCAATTGTAGACCTCTGGAACCTTGTTCTGTAGTTGGATTTTTTCAGCTGAGAATGTTTTGTTCCAATCTCTCACTTATTTTGTGGATTTTGTAATCTGTATTGTCCCAGAAGACAATAAACTAGAATTGGAAGTTGACAGGCATGGGATGCATAGCCCTAGGGAAGGGGATTCCACAGCCAAGGTTCCCTATAAACTTTGCACCCGTGCAGGTGTGCAGCCCTTTTCTGAGCCACGCACAGAGATTCAGAGCTCCCCACAAAGGCAGGGAGCTCAGTGGATTGGCTGGGGAAGGAGAATGTGTGTGTTTCTGAATTCTGAGAGCCTGCAGGGAGGGGAGACAGGCTTCTCATGCTGCCGTCACCCCCAGTAGCTCCTATTGGCCGATTTCAACCAATAGCAGCTGCCAGTTTGCAGGACAGGCAGCATGTGAAGTGTCCCTCCTCCCCCATTCCCTGAACTCACAGCATTCACTTGAGAACAATAAGTATGGCTCCTGCAGCTCCTCTGAGCACATACAGGGCCTGGAAGGCAGGCACCTGGCTAAGGAACCTGCTGGGCTGCTGACTGGGAGCCAGGTCTCTGACACTCCAGCCCCACCCTCCCCCAACCCTCTGAATCCCTTCTGCCTTCCTACCCCATGTAACCAAAACCTTATGCACCCCCGCTCCAGCCCACATACACCTTCCCAGACACTGCATCCCCTCCTATACCTCTCCTCAGGTCACAACTCCCTCTCAGACTTTGCACTCCAATCCAGTATCTCTGGTCACAGCCCAAATCCCTGCACCCCTTCCTACACTTCTGCCCCCGATCACAACCCCTTCCTAGGCCCTGCACCCCCTCCTCACTTCATTCCATTGCCCCAGGTCATGATCCCCTATTTCATCTAATCTCCCTCCCAGATCCCACACCCCAATCCCATACCCCAATCTCTCTTCTGCACCCAACCTCTGTCCCAGACCTCTGCGCCTCCTCCATTAATATAATGGAAAAGTGTAGCCTTCACTTAAGTGCAACCACTTACCAAATTCTTGGAGTGGCCCCCTCATCAAAAATTATTGCCCAGCCCCGTGTTAATGGCTTAAGGTAAGAAAGAAAAAGATTATTTTAATGAAATTTTGTGAGTGTTGCAGATATCTAAAACTTTGCTCTTAATGATGTTTTAAAATCCTGTGGTAATTAATACACGGAAACTGTATTCCATTAAGGCCAGATCTTTGCTATTTAGTAGAGTTCTGGTTCTTATAAGTCAGAAGTAGCAAGTACTAGGTGTGATGCTAGCTGTTTTCTCAGATGAAACTTTATTTGCAAGATCTTTGAAACATGCATTTGTCTGTTAGAAAGGATGATGATACATGTACTGCAAGGCCTCAGAGAGGTAGTCGTGTTAGTCTGTAACTAAAAAAAATTAAAAAAACAACAATGGTCTTATAGCACCTTAGACTAACAAAGATACCTAAATAGTATAATGAACTTCCATGAGCACAATCCATTTCTTTAGCCAAGGGTAGTATTAATTTTCTTTTTATTTGATTTCATATTAAATAATCATAAACATTGCTCCTTATTAATTATCCCTTATTTTACTATATTTTTTCCACACTTCTGGATTATTGAAAATATATGTTATATCTACATTTTTTGTTTGTACTGGTGGATGCACATCTACACACTACCTCAATATTGGTGTTGCTCATAAGACATTTCAACCCACCCAAAAGAAAATTCAATCCACCCAAGAATGGAAAATCTTAGAGGGAACACTGTCCATAACCACCATCACTCAAGAAAAGAAGATGGGAGGTGGTAGCTGGGGACACCTTCCTAAGAGGGACAGAGACATCCATCTGCTGTCCAAACTGTGAATCTCAAGAACTATGCTGCTTACATGGAGCTAGAATTCAGGATGTGACCGAGAGTTTTCTGAGACTGATAAAACCTTCAGACCGCTACCCCTTCCTACTTCTCCATGTAGGAACTAATGATATTGCTAAGAATGACCTTGAGCAGGTCACTGCAGATTGTGTAGTTCTGGGAAGAAGGATCAAGGAGTTTGAGGTGCAAGTGGTGTTCTCTCCATCCTCCCCATTGAAGGAAAAGGTCCGGGTAGGGATCGTCACATTTTGGCAGTAATTACATGGTTGCGCAGTGGTGTCAGAGAAAGGCCTTTGGTTTCTTTGACCATTGGATGTTGTTCCAAGCACAAGGATTGCTAGAAAGAGATGGGATCTGCCTAATGAAGAGAGGAAAGAGCATCTTTGCAGGCAGGCTTGCAAACTTAGGGTGTGTCTAGACTACTGAGTTTTGTCGACAACAGTGGACTTTTGTCGACAAAACTATTCCAGCGTCTACACTACCACTGAGTTCTGTCGACATAACGTCGACAGAACTCAGCAGTTTTGTCGACGCTGGTATACCTCATTTTACGAGGAATAACACCTTCTGTCGACAGAGTTCTGTCGACAGAAGGTGTTATTGCCTGTAGGGTTGTGTCTAGACTACAGGGTTCGGTCGACAAAGCAGCTTGCTTTGTCGACAGAACTCAATGTGTCTGGACGCTCTTTGTTGACAGAAGTTTTGTCGACAGATACTGTTGACAAAACTTCTGTCGACAAAACCCGGTAGTCTAGACGTACCGTTAGTGAGGAAAATGGAATACAGGGGAAGAAACACAAGGAGGAAGGTGCAACAGAAAAGGACCCCTGATTTGTATGGAGAAGATAGGGCAATCAGCTAGTTATCTAAGGTGTCTGTACACAAATGTAAGAAGTTTGGGAAACAAGCAGGAAGAATTAGAACTCCTGGCACAGTCAAAGAACTATGATTTGATTGGAATAATGGAGACTTGGTGGGATGACTCAGATGATTGGAGCATTGTCATGGAAAGATATAAACTGTTCAGGAAGGAAAAGCAGGGAAGAAAAGGTGGAGGAGTTGCACTATGTGTAAGAGATCAGTATGATTGCTCAGAGCTCCAGTATATAGAGGAAGAAAAGCCTGTTGAGAGTCTTGAGATTAAGTTTAGAAGTGAGAGCAATAGAGGTGATGTTCTGGTTGGTGTCTGCTATAGACTACCAGATCAGGTGGGTGAGGTTTTCTTCAGACAACTAAGAGAACCTTCCAGATCACAGGCCCTAGTGTCATGGGGGACTTGAATCACGCTGACATCTGTTGGGAGACCAATACAGTGGGCAATCCAGGAAGTTTTTGGAGAATGTTGGGGATAACTTCCTAGTACAAGTGCCGAAGGAGCCAACCAGGGCCATGCACAGCTTGACTTGCTGCTCACAAACAGGGAAAAATTAGTAGGGGAAGTAGATGTGGTTGGCAACCTGGGAAACAGTGATCATGAGTTGATCAATTTCAGGATCCTGATCAAAGGAAGAAAGGAAAACCGCAAAATACAGACCCTGGACTTCAGAAAAGCAGACTTTTTCTCCCTCAGGGAACTGATGGGCAGGATCCCCTGGGATGTTAACACGAAGGAGAAAAGAATCCAGGAGAACTAGCAGTATTGTAAAAAAGCCTTACTAAAGGCACAGGAACAAACCATCCTGATGTGCAGTAAGACAAGCAAATATGGTAGGTAACCAGCTTGGTTTAGCAGTGAAATCCTTGGTGACTTTAACACAAAAAGGAAATTTACAAGAAGTGGAAACTTGGACAGATGGCTAGGGAGGAGTATAAATATTGCTCAAGCCTTCAGGATTGTAATCAGGAAGCCCAAAGCCCAATTGGAATTGCAGCTATCAAGGTATATGAAGGGTAACAAGAAAGGTTTCTACAGGCCTATTAGCAATAAGAGGGTGATCAGGGAAGGTGTGGGACCCTTACTGGATGAGGGAGGTAACCTGGTGACAGGTGATGTGGGAAAAGCTGAAGTAAAGAATGCTTTTTTCCCCTCTGTCTTCACAAACAAGGTCAGCTCTCAGGCTACTGCACTAGGGCAACACCAGTATGGGAATGAGGTAGGTAGCCCTTAGTGGAGGAAGAACAGATTAAGAACTATTTAAAAAAGTTGGACATGCACAAATCCATGGGTCTGGACTTAATGCATCCAAAGGTGCCAAGGGAATTGGCAGGTGTCATTGCAGAGCCATTGGCCATTATCTTTGAAAATTCATGGAGATTGGGGGAGGTCCCGAATGATTGGAAAAAGGCAAATGTAGTGCCCATCTTTAAAAAAGGGAAGAAGGACAATCAATTGAACTACAGACTGATCAGCCTCACCTCAGTCCCCAGATAAATCACACAGGGCATCTTCAAGGAATTCATTTTTAAGCACTTGGAAGAGAGAAAAGTGACCAGGAATAGTCAACATGGATTCACCAAGGGCAATCAACCTGATTGCCCTTCTATGATGAGTGTATGTGGAACACCTGGACTTGAGGAAAGCTTTTGATACAGTCTACCAAGGTATGTCTACACTGCATTACTCTTTCGAGAGAGGAATGCAAATGCAGCTGAGTGAAATTGCAATGCCCAGTCCAATCTCTGCTCCTGCAAATAACCATGTGCCAGGACAGAGCACAGTCTTGACATGTTATCTCACTTTTGCCACAATGCTAAGGCTTTTCCATACTTTGGCACTTAGAGTGCC